AATGATGCCGGTGGCCGATGTCCCGCCGATACAATTAGTTGGCGACGCCAACCGAGCCTTGGGAGAACATGCTACGCCTGCCACGCCCCGCGACCCTGGGACGGATAGGGACCGCGGTGGGGGACCACCTCCTGCGCACCTCCTGTGGCGTAAGGAATGTGCCACCCTGCCACGCCTTGCGACACTGAGACGGATAGAGACCACGGTGAACCCCCTGCGCACCCTATTATGGTTTAGCAGTGCCACGCCTGCCACGCTTTGCGACCTTAAGACGGATAGAGACCACGGTGAGGGATCACCCCCTGCGCACCCCCGATGGTGCCGAGAAAGTGCCATGCCTGCCACGCCTTGCGGCCCTGAGACGGATAGAGACCACGGTGAAAGACCACCCCTTGCGGACCGTCTATAGTGTCCAGAACGTGCTACGCCTGCCACGCCTTGCGACCCTGAGGCGGATAGAGACCACGGTGAAAGACCCCCCCCTGCGCACCGCCAATGGTGTCGAGAAAGTGACGCGCCTGGCGTCCTTGAGACGGATACAGGCCACTGTGAGGGATCACCTCCTGCGCACCCCCTGTGGTGCCGAGAAAGTGCCACGCTCGCCACGCCTCGCGACCCTGAGACGGATAGAGACCACGGTGAGGGACCACCCCTCTGCGCACCCTTTGTGGTGTAGAGAAAGTGCCACGCCTGTCGCGCCCTGCAACCCTGAAATAAATAGAAACCACGGTGAGAGACCACCCCCTGCGCACCCCCTACGGTGCCGACAAAGTGCCACGCCTGCCACGCTCTGCGACCTCGGGACGGATAGAGGCCACGGTAACGGACCACCCCCTGCGCACCCTCCATGGTGTCGAAAAAGTGTCACGCCTGCCACGCCTTGCGACCCTGAGACGGATAGGGACCGCGGTGAGGGACCACCCCCTGCGCACCCCCCGTGGTGCCGAGAAAATGCAGCGTCTGCCACGGCTGTTTTATAAATGCGAGCGAGAGGGGGCAGTAAACGGGTGATGAGCAGGAGGAGGAGAAACGCGGGAGCGACTCGGCAGCGAAAAAAACATAACGCCACGAAACATGTGGGGAATTAGAAAGGTTCGTAGCACGAGTAGCCGTATGTGTAGTGATAATTGTAATCGTAGTAGTACTAGTCACCGTCGTCGTCGTCGTCGTCTCAATCGTACTCGTAGTAGTCGTAGTAGTCGTAGTAGTCGTAGTAGTAGTAGTAGTAGTAGTAGTAGTAGTAGTAGTAGTAGTAGTAGTAGTAGTAGTAGTAGTCGTAGTAGCCGTAGTAGCCGTAGTAGTAGTAGTCGCCGTAGTAGTCGTAGTACTGTATAGTAGTAGTGGTATTAGTAGTAGTAGTAGTAGTAGTAGTAGTAGTAGTAGTAGTAGTAGTAGTAGTAGTAGTAGTAGTAGTAGTAGTAGTAGTAGTAAGTAGTAGTAGTAGTAGTAGTAGTAGTAGTAGTAGTAGTAGTAGTAGCAGTAGATGTAGTAGTAGTAAAGTAGTAGTAGTAGTGGTACAGTAGTAGTAGTAGTAGTAGTAGTAGTAGTAGTAGTAGTAGTAGTAGTAGTAGTAGTAGTTGTAATAATAGTATTAGTAGTAGTAATCGTCGTAGTAGTAATCGCCGCCGTAGTAGTAGTAGTAGTAGTAGTAGTAGTAGTAGTAGTAGTAGTAGTAGTAGTAGTAGTAGTAGTAGTGGTAGTCGTCGCAGTAGTAGTGGTAGTAGTGATAGTAGTAACAATAATAGTTCTATTAGTAGTAGTAGTAGTAGTAGTAGTAGTAGTAGTAGTAGTAGTAGTAGTAGTAGTAATAGTAGCAGTAGTAGTAGGGGTATGATTAATATCAGCAGTCGTAATGGTCGTGGTAGCTCGTCGTAGTGGTAGTAGTAGTAGTAGTAGTAGTAGTAGGTGTTGTTGTTGGCGGTGCAATCGTAGTAATAGTAGTAGTAGTAGTAGTAGTCGCAGCAGTTGTAGTAGTAGTAGCAGTAGTAGCAGCATGGGTGGTGGTGGTGGTAGAAATGGCAGCCGTAGTCGTATACGTGGTCGTAGCATCAGTAGTGGTAGTCGTAGTATTTGTAGTAGTAGTAGTAGTAGTAGTAGTAGCAACAGTAGTCGTCGCAAAAGTAGTCGCAGTAGTACGGGTAGTAGCAGTAGTAGTAGTAGTAGTAGTAGTAGTAGTAGTAGTAGTAGCAGTAGCAGCAATAGTAGTAGTAGTAGTAGTAATAGTAGTAGTAGTAGAAGTAGTAGTAGTAGTAGTAGAAGTAGTAGTAGTCGTAGTCGTAGCAGTAGTAGTTGCAGCAAGACTAGTAGCAGTACTAGTCGTAGTAGTAGTAGTAGTAGTAGTAGTAGTAGTAGTAGTAGTAGCAGTAGTAAGTAGTAGTAGTAATAGTAGTTAGTAGTCGTAGTAGTAGTAGTAATAAGGTAGTATAGTAGTAGTAGGAGCCGTAGCCGTCGTCGCCGTAGTAGTAGTAAGTAGTCAGTAGTAGTAGTAGTAGTAGTAGTTTAGAGTAGTAGTAGTAGTAGTAGTAGTAGTAGTAGTAGTAGTAGTGGTAGTGGTAGTATAGTAGTAGTGGTAGTAGTAGTAGTCTTACAACAAGTAGTAGTAGTCAGTAGTAGAAGTAGTAGTAGCTGTAGGCGTAGTAGTGGTAGTGGTAGTGTAGTGTAGTGGTATGGTAGTGTAGTGGTAGTATGTAGTAGTGTAGTATATTAGTCTAGTAAGTAGTAGTAGTAGTATAGTAGTAGTAAGTAAGTAAGTAAGTAGTAAGAGTAGTAGTAGTGAGTAGTAGTTAGTAGTAGTATGAGTAGTAGTAGTAGTAGTAGTAGTAGTAGTAGTAGTAGTAGTAGTAGTAGTAGTCGTAGTAGTAGTAGTAGTAGTAGTAGTACGGTTTGTCGAAAAGGTGGTAGCAGAAGTAGTCGTAGTAGTAATCGTAGTGATACGCACGATTAGGCTATCACTGATAGCAGTACGGGTAATCATAGTAGTAATACTGGTATTCGTAGTAGTTCGAGTAGTAGCAGTAGTAGTAGTAGTATTAGTAGTGGTAGTAGTAGTAGTAGCAGTAGTAGTAGTAGCAGTAGCAGTAGCAGTAGTAGTAGTAGTAGTAGTAGTAGTAGTAGTAGTCGTAGTACTACCACTACTACTATTACTATTAGTGTTATTAGTAGTAGTAGTAGTAGTAGTAGAAGCCATAGTAGTAGCCGTAGTCGTAGTCGGAGTAGTCGTAGTAGTAGTAGTAGTAGTAGTAGTAGTAGTAGCAGTAGTAGTAGTAGTAGTAGTAGTAGTAGTAGTAGCAGCAGTAGTAGTAGTAGTAGTAGTAGTAGTAGTCGAAGTCGTAGTCGTAGTCATAGTCGTAGTCGTAGTGGTCGTAGTGCTGGTAGTGAGAATAGTGGCAGTAGTAGTAGTAGTAGTAGTAATAATAGTAGTAGTAGTAGTAGTCGTAGTGGTTTCAGTCGTAACAGTACTTGTAGTAGTAGTGGTAGTAGTAGTAGTAGTAGTAGTAGCAGCAGTAGTAGTAGTAGTCGTCGTAGCTGTAAAAGTAGTAGCCGTAGTAGAGCAGCGACAAAAATAATAGTAGTAGTGGTGGTAGTAGTAGTAGTAGCAGCAGTAGCAGTAGTAGTAGTAGTAGTAGTAGTAGTAGTCGTCGTAGTAGTCGTAGTCGTAGTAGTCGTAGTAGTAGTAGTAGTAGTAGTAGTTGTTGTAGTAGCCGTAGTAGTCGTAGCAGTAGCAGTAGTAGTAGTAGTAGTAGCAAATCAGTAGTAGTAGTAGTAGTAGTAGTAGTAGTAGTAGTAGTAGTAGTAGTAGTAGTAGTAGTAGTAGTAGTAGTAGGAGTAGTAGTGAGTAGTAGTAGTAGTGGTAGTGTAGTAGTCGTAGTCGTAGTAGTCGTAGTAGGTAGTAGCGTAGTAGTAGTCGTAGTAGTAGTAGTAGTAGTAGTAGTAGTAGTAGTAGTAGTAGTAGTAGTAGTAGTAGTAGTAGTAGTAGTAGTAGTAGTAGTAATAGTGATAGTAGTAGTAGTAGTAGTAGTAGTAGTAGTAGTAGTAGTAGTAGTAGTAGTAGTAGTAGTAGTAGTAGTAGTAGTAGTAGTAGTAGTAGTGGTCGTTATCGTAGTCGTAGTAGTAATCGGATTTTGTGTTGTTGCAGCGCGCTGCTGCCCGCCAAACTCCCGAGTGCAGTAGCAGCAGGGTTTGCTGGGCAGGGAAGGAAAAATTTGGAGCCCCCAGCTCCGCGTGATCATCGACGGGGTAGGCCTTCGCAGACATGCACAGTCTGACATGTGCCAGACAAGCTGCGCGCCTGCCTGGATCTCTGGCACGTCCCTCGACGAGCCACGCAGCACCGACGAGGACGGCGCAGGGTCAAAGCTACTCGTCCTGCACGCCCCAGGACCCGGGCCTCGGGCAAGGCCGTGCTCGGGAGGGGAGGCTGCCGCGCAGGGCCACGCCCCGTCGCGGAGCCGCGGACGGGGAATGACGGAAGGGTGGAGTGGATGTAAGGTCGAGCAGCTGCAGTCGACCCGTATAGCCAGGACGCACGATAAGGATGCAAGGGTCTTGGAGGGCCATGTCGACACTTTGCCAGCGTGGCGCGGCCAGCGAAGGCGGCCAAGGATAGGATAGGAAGGATCCAAGGGTAAGCTTGGAAAGTCGCTCACCCTTCCTATGCGGATTAACTGTACGGCAAGGGCAAGCTTTCGCCTGCATCGTCACGGCGCTCTCGAACCAAACCTGTCTGCGCGGCGCGCGCGCCGCCTTCGGCGGAGACAACGCGGATAAGTAAACGACACCGTGGCCCGTAAACATTCCGATTTGGAAAACTGCGCCCGCATCTGGAGAAGATTCTTGGAACAAATTTCACCCTCGCCCTCCTCCAACCCTCCTCTACTCTCCTTCCCACGACCTGCCCCGGGCGGCAGCCCAGAAGCACACCTGTGAAAGCAGACCAACTTGTAACTCCTGCGCCCAGAGTCGCTCCTCTACTGCCGGCTCCATGGAGATGCGCCTCTTGCATGGAGCTGCGCCTTCAAGACTTGTCGGACTCGGACTCGCCTCCCTCCGCAGAGCTGGGCCTCCTCCTGCCTGGCTCGAGACCCCCCCCGAAGTGGGCGAGCAGCTCGGCGGTGCTCTTCAACAGACCGTTCGCCTCTCTGATCTCCCACTTGAGAGACTCCACGTCCACGCGCGTCGCGGGCCCCCTCAGCTTCAGGCACCCCTCGACGAAGTCTTCCAGCGACACCCGCCCGGTGTTCCCCGCATCGAGGATCTTGAACAGCTTCCAGGCCTGGGATGGGAGGAGGAGGAGGAGGAGGAGGAGGAGGAGGAGGAGGAGGAGGAGGAGGAGAGGGAGGAGGCGGCGGGAGGATGGGAAGAGGAGGAGGAGGAGGAGGAGGAGGAGGAGAGCGGAGGAGACGAGGAGGAGGGAGGAGGAGGAGGAGGAGGCGGAGGAGGAGGAGGAGGAGAAGGGAGGAGGAGGCGGCGGTGGAGGGAGGAGGAGGAGGGGGAGGAGGAGGAGGGGGGAGGCGGAGGAGGAGGCGGAGGAGGCGGAGGAAGAGGAGGATGAGGAGGAGGAGGAAGGGGAGTAGGAGGAGTGGGGAGGAGGAGGAGGGAGGAGGGAGGAGGGAGAGGTGGGTAGGAGAGAAAGGACGGGGCGGAGGAGGAGGGGAGGTAGGAGGAGGGTGTGTGGTAGATGGAGGAGGAGGAGGAGGAGGAGGAGGAGAGAAGGAGGAGGAGGAGGAGGAGATGGGGGTGGAGGGAGGAGGGAGGGAGGGGGGGGAGGAGGAGGGAGGAGGAGGAGGAGGAGGAGGAGGAGGAGGAGGAGGAGGAGGAGGAGGAGGAGGGGGAGGGGAGGAGGAAGGAGAGGAGGAGGGGGTGGAGGAGGACGGGGGAGGAGGAGGAGGGAGGAGGGAGAAGGCGGGATGAGGAGGAGGAGGAGGAGGAGGAGGAGGAGGAGGAGGAGGAGTGTGGAGGAGAAGGGAGGCGGGGAGGAGGGAGGAGGGAGGAGGGAGGAGGGAAGGAGGGAGGAGGGAGGAGGAGGGAGGAGGAGGAGGAGGAGGGGAGGCGGAGGAGGAGGAGGAGAGGAGGAGGAGGAGCAGGGAGGAGGAGGAGGAGGAGGAGGATAAGGAGGAGGAGGAACAGCTTCCAGGCCTGCTTCGCGTCCACGTCCAGCGCCGGAGCAGAGGCCGCAGTGCAAGCCCGGGCGCAGGGAGCCCCCCCCCCAGGACGCCCCGGATGTCTCCAAGGGAGGAGGGAGGAGGAGGAGGAGGAGGAGGAGGAGGAGGAGGAGGAGGAGGAGGAGGAGGCTGATCGCGGATTTTCTGAACTATATCTGGCGGGAGAAACTCGTGCTTTCGGCGTTAGCGAGGACGAGGGCGACGACGACGACGACGACGACCACGACGACGACGACGACGACGACGACCGCGACGCTAACGGCGACGGTGTCGTCCCAAGAGGCCTCCCGAGGCCTCTAGATGCCAGACAGGTCCCCCGGATAAGAGGACGCTCGGCGAGAGAGCCCAACGCCTCGCCGCGGGGTCTCGCTCGGACGGCAGGTCGGCGCCTCCGCCCGCCCAGGGGGTCTTGGTCTGCGGAGGTGTCGGTTGGAACTCATCGTGGCGCGGAGACAGCTCCAGACCGTGCCGTCCTTCTTCCCCCTCCCTCCTCTCTCCTCCCTGCTCCCTTCCCCTCCCTCTTCCCTCGTATCCTCCCGTCTCCTTCTCCAGTCCTGTTCCTTGTAGATAAATCCCCCCTGTCGCACCCCGAGGCCAGTCGAAAGGGCTGGTCGGGCATTTCGCCTGATACATCCTCACGGTCTATGATCCTGAAGCTTCAGATTTGCAACAGTTTCACCGATGGCGGGCAGTCCGTTCTCAAAATGTGGTTCTCGCCCTAGCGCCGCGCACATTCGTCTTCAAAATCTGCAAGAGCTTAACGGATGGAGGGCGGTCCGTTTTCAAAATGTGGCTCTCGCCGTAGCGCCAAGCACGTTCGCTGTAAAAGGTTGCAAGAGCTTGACAGATGGAGGGCAAATCCTTTTCGAAATGTTGCTCTCGCCTTAGCGCCGCGTTCATTCGGCTCGAACGTTTCTAATACTTTTGCGGATGGAGGGCGGCTCCTTGTCAAAATGTGGCCCTCACCATCGCGCCGCGCACATTCGTCTCAAACGTTTGTACTAGTCTTGCGGATGGAGGGCGGCTCCTTTGCAAAATGTGGCCCTCGCCTCAGCGCCGCGCACACTCGTCTTAAAAAGGTGTGCAACAGTTTCACGGATGGAGGGCGGTTCCTTTTCAAAATGTTGCTCTCGCCTTAGCGCCGCGCACGTTCGTCTTAAGAGTTCGCGGCGGTTTCAAGGATTCTCATGGTGAAAATCCCAAAAACAATGTCTTGGCACGATGTCGGAATGCCAAGGCGTAACGGTCACGTTGATTCGATTCGCGCCGTTGAAGCCCCAGAAATGGAGCTCTGGTACAATTCCGGATTTACAAAAAGGTTTTCTTCCAACGGGGCATTCCCTCAGTGAACATGAATCCGTGTAGGAGTCTATGAAGAGGGAACTTAGAGGGAGGGTGTTATTGCAATATCGTTGATGCATCTTGGATTTCTCTTGTTCTCCTCCTTCCCCTCCTTCTCCTCCTCTTCCCTCCTCCCTCCTGCTCATCCTCCTGCTCATCCGCCTCCTGTTTATCAGCATCACCACCACCATCATCATCACCACTATCATCAGCAACATAATCATCAACATCATCATCGTTCTCATTCCTTCCTCCTCTCCGCTTCCTTCTCGCCCTCCTCCTCCTCCTCCGCCTCCTCATACTCCTCGTCCTGCTCCACCTTCTCTCCCTCCCTTTTTCGACTGCTCCTGCTCTTTCCTCCCCATGCTCTGAGAAGTCACAGAAGCGATAGGATGTACAGATTCCTCGGCCCTCGACAGGGGTGCTGGATCCAGATGCCGATGTTAGGCAAGTCGCCGTGAGAAACATATTGAACATCATCTATGCTCGGATGCGTCGGATCTGGCAAAGAGCGAGGCAAAGGATGGTCAGAGGCGTACATGGGAAACTAGCTCGGAAGTATTGGGGAGCCACTGAAGGAAGATCGCGTCTCGCCTGTATGTGGCTGCAGGCAGCTCGAGCATAATGTGAGCGAGTCCCGCACCATCGTTCGAGGCTGTGGGGCATCGACTGGCCCAAGTACTACGAGTCGATCCTGCTCCGAGGGCTCAAGTAGAGGTTCCTGCGAGCTGGAGCCATCATGTTGGCGGAAGCGGGTGTGCAAGAACTGGCATGTCCCTCGCATCATACACCCAGCACGACACCGTGCAACGACCAAGCTTCACCCGCGGCTGGGCCTTCCAGCTGGAGGTGGATGCGGCGACGTGGCCATGCATGGTGCACCCGGTCGCTGAGTTCGGCGAGTTCGCCCAGAGATGTCGGAAGGCGGACCCCAGACCCCCGACATCATGATTTTTTCATGACGTCGACCCCCCGAGGTCTCGACCCATTCCCCGGGACCGGTTTTTCGTCCTGAGTCGTTTTTTGACGGTCCCGAGGCCCGGTGAGGGCCCCCAGAAGCCGAAAATTGCGAAAAACCTCCCGTCATGATTTTTTCATTACTCGAGGGGGTCTGGGACTTTCTCAACCCCATCGGCCCAGAGATCCGACGTCGCGATTTTCTCAATGCGGGGCCCCCAGAGGTCTCGACCCCTTCCCCAGGACCGCTTCTTCATCCTGCTGGGTCGTTTTGTTGACCGGCCCCCGGGGCCCGGCGAGGGCACTCTGAGGCCGAAAACTGCGAACAACCTGCGCCTGGATGTCTTCAGTACGTTGGATCTCGCCCCGTCCGGGAAGGAGAGGAGGAAGAGGAGGAGGAGGAGGAGCAGGAGGAGGAATTAGGAGGAGGTGGAGGAGGAGGAGGAGGAAGAGGAGGAGGGGAGCGGGACGAGGAGGAGGAGGAGGAGGAGGGTGGAGGAGGAGGGTGGACGAGGAGGAGGAGGAGGAGGAGGGGGGACAGTGCGATCACCAGCTCGGCGACTGCGACACTGCCCACCGTGCAGAACGAACACCGACGAGGGAGCTCTGGACGCCCGAAATATCCAGGGTAAGTCGGGTCCGGGGTAACTCGGGTTCGGGTTCCCGAAAAAGGAACCCGAGTGAGCCCTGACCCGAGTTACCCCTGATGATTCGGGGCTCTGGACGCCCGAAATATCCGGGGTAAGTCGGGTCCGGGGTAACTCGGGTTCGGGTTCCCGAAAAACGAACCCGAGTTAGCCCTGACCCGAGTTACCCCTGATGATTCGGGGCTCTGGACGCCCGAAATATCTGGGGTAACTCGGGTCCGGGGTAACTCGGGTTCGGAATCCCGAAAAACGAACCCGAGTTAGCCCTGACCCGAGTTACCCCTGATGATTCGGGGCTCTGAGACAGTGCGATCACCAGCTCGGCGACTGCGACACTGCCAACCGTGCAGAACGAACACCGGCGAGGGAGCTCGAGGCGGACCTCGACAGGCCGAGTGCGGGGCCCCACGTCGAGAAGCTCGCGGCGCCGGCGTCGGCCTCCGAGCTGTAGGGCGCGCGGCGTGCGGCGAGGGGGGCTCCCCGAGGCCAGTCTGCAGGCGGAGCGCGCCGTGCAGGGCAGTTTTTTAAACATTTATATTATTTATAATATATATATATATAATATATATATATATATATATATATATATAAAAGGATCTTCCATCCACGATTCATGTATGCATGCATTTCTGCATGAACTCCTCGCTGCTTTTTAGTACTACATCCCTGCATTTGTCATACAGGGTCCGCACGCGGAGCATGCATTAGAAACGGCACTGTACCTCGGGGCCGACGAGCAGGCAAAGGCTAGTCATGCGATCAGGCACGAGGAGCCGAATTTGCAGAATCCGCTTTTTTATACTAAACCGCGGCTCAGAGGAAGCAGGGAGGCTCTCGTCTCAGGAAGGTGTGTCGGGCTGGAGTGACCCCCGCTGGCAGTTCTCGAGCCGAAGTTTCAGGCACAAGCCGGGCCGAGCAGATGATCCATCAGCGGCTCAACTGCACGGCCGATTGAGGCATGTCGCACCCAGCAAAGCGTGTTCTGAAAGGAGACAGTAGCTTCAAGCTCGGAGCCGCCCCAGCGATTTACTGCGTGCCGAATGCTCTGCTTCACTTCCATCCAGCCCGAGAGGACTCTAGTCAGCAAAGCTGATATCTTTAGGATTTGGGACTCGGACAGACCCTGGTAGCATGGCCTCTGGACCTCCACCAGGGGCTCTCTGGTCGTGC